AATGCAACACAAATGAAGCCTTGAGAAGCAAAGATTGTTCAGTCTCTGAAAAACAAGCGTAAAACTTGTTCTTCTCTACATATAAATCTAAAAAATTTAACTAGAAGAGAGATTATAGATGCAACAAAAATAAGATTAGCGGAGCTTTTTACATAGAACTTTACATGATTAAAACAGCAATAACAAGAATGCAGTTTCATGGAAACATCCCATGAAATCAACCTATGAACATAAAATTAAAGAATATATATATAGAGGCTATATGAAAAAATTAGGAAACTATTTTATTGAAAGAGACAAAGGTCATTCACAGACACCAACATGTATTCTGATTCACTGGCAAACATCAAAACCAACACAATTGTTAACGCCATAGATCATATTTCTGCTATTTCCTGTCTAGCAGAGCTCTGGCAATATACTTATTGATATATATACATATATATGTAAATATATGGTATTTAACAAACCTCCAACTTATTTAGTTGAGATACTAGGCATTATGTCTACCTCCTAGGTGTTCATAAAAAAAAATGTCTACCTCCTAGTTTACAATGAGGCCAAAAAGTCTGTTGTCCGAATGGAGCAAATGCTGCTGGACCAGTTTGTGCAAGAGCAGAAGTGACAGCAGGCCCTGGAAAGAGGTCATTAATATAATCCCCACATCCACATGTAATAACTGGAAGAACCCCGAATGGATTGGTGTGGTACGGAACATTTGGAAGAATAGGATACCCAAGTGGATAGGAGTCCCCCCCAAACGGGAAATGAATTGTACTCCCAACAGCATGATACGAGCACATGCTAATTTCTGGCGCTGCCAGCTTTCTCCTACGCCAGTAGGTCGCAAACTTATCTCTCCAATTCACCATTCCCTGTGCTGCTGTCTCATCCCAAAACTCCTCTGTAAATTTCTGCTTCCACAAGTCATTATTGGAAGCCAAATGTTGCATCCCGGTGCAAACACACCCCATTCTAGCAACATCAACACCAGAGAGTAACTCCAAAATTTTGAGCTTCAATTCAGGTGGGAGACGCATCAAGCATGCAGGGGAAGCAAGACCAGTACTTTCACAAAGATCAATCATTAATGGCAAAGCAAGCCCCTCCTTCACAATTCTGCAAAACTTAAAGACTTCATTCTTCGGAAAAGACTTCGAATAAACATCTTCATCCATCCTAACATTCTTATCATCATAATTTGCCCATATTGAGTCTAAAGTTGGTGCAAACCTACACTCATCCAAGCACACCCTATACACTAAACCCCCTTTAGCCAAACGCCCATAAACATTGATGAAATGGCCTAGATTTTGGAACCTTATAACAACATAATCAGTCATCTTAGAACCAGAATTGCTACTAGTCAAAAGTTCAGGCAGGGAATACCACAGGGAGACTGTAAAAGCTGAAGAGGGGCGTTCAACTGCTAGATGAAACCGATCAACTGGCATCCCAGAGACTGAATCGAACGCAACGAAGCCGGATTCCAATAGAACAGCGTGAACCGCAATCATCAAGGGCTTGTGATTACCGCCATCATTGCCTAACTCCTCTCTTAACACCCTCCTCAAGAAATACGGCTCAGAAAACTTCTTAATACCCGAAGTACCATCAATATCCATGGTTTCTGCTTCCACAACCGTACCATATGCAGTTTCCCTGGTTTCGTGGGAAAATTCTTCACTCAGACTTTCTTGCACGGCCAAATCCTGAAGCGGGGTTTGTTGGTTTGGGCAATTCATGCCCTGCATATGAGTCCCTTGAGAAATTTGGCCATAATTCGATCCAAGATCCAGTTTTTGAGGCAATCCTGAGATTGGAGTTTCCTGATTTGGGAAATTAATCCCGAAATTCGTAGTTTTCAACATGGGTTCTTCTTGAATTTGTCGACCGGTGACGGGTTCGTGTGTAGGAGGCGATTCTTGAACAAGGGTTAGGGGTTGAGGATTATGATAGAAAGCATTGGGGTTGAGGGAAAAGTAGAGGAGGCCACCAGCGATGAAACCAAGAGAGTCAAGCGACACATCGGGAGACGAGGGGGAAAGAAGTTGATCCCGGGAATTAAGAGAGAAACGGAGAGAAGACGGTGAAGGAGGGGGAGGAGAAAGCGAGAGGGAAAGGGATTGTTGGAGCTGAAGGAGAGTGCAGTCAGGGGGCAGTTGGATTGCGAAGGTTTGTTTCGACTCAAGACATTTCAGCCTCAGCTCCATGCCTTCCGACACCTGTTGATCCGCGGAAGCACAGCAGGTCCAATTATGAAATGTGAAATAGTCTGAAGCTCTGTGCGCAAATCCCAAATGCATACAAAAGTCTATATACTGTGGTCTAACATGGCACGAGTTGAGTTCTCACTAGATAAGAATTTTGCTCCTATAATAGTGGGTGTTTTGATTAAGCTGATCATGAATACTTGATAACTGACTATTTGTCATTATTTTTGTTTATATTCCACTAAATAATTTTGCTATTTTTTTACCAACTCTTTTTACTCTAGTTGTTTGACAATCCACATGTCAAATATTCAACAGTTAATAAAACCATGAAAATAATATTAATTATAATATTATATAATATTATAAATTTATAACACTATGTATTATTATATAATTTATTTTTTTATTTATAATCATAATATTGTGTTTATTTATCTCAATAATTAGAACTTGTTTTTTATTTTGACTATTATTTACAATTAAACAACCAAATTTTAACATATTTTTATTTTTTTGAGATAAGGTATTAAAATATTAATATTTAATATCTTATTAAAATAAAAA